CGGCCGGGGGCCGCGGAGGGCCGCCGGGGCCGCGGGCGGCGGTGGGGAAGGCAGCGAGGCCCCTCACGGCCGCGGCCTAGGTGCCGGCTGCTCCCGTTCCGGTCGCTCCGGCCCGGGGAGCCGCCGAGAGGAGGGGAGGAGGCCGCTCCGCCGGGCCGCGGCCGGGAAGGCGACCCCCCGCCCCAATAGGGACCCAAGACAGGAGGGGGGTGCCTGCGGGCGCCCGCCCACCGGCCCTTCCCGGCGCGGCGCTGCCTGTTACCTTCATCAGCCTCCTGCTGGCCGCCATCTTGGCTCTGCTGCTGCCGCCCCACAATGCATGGCGGCGGCGGGCAGGGCGCTAAAGCCCTGCGCTTCCTGGGGCGGTGGGCGGGGGCGGGCTGCGAAGACGAGCCGAAGGGAGCGGCTCGGCTCCGCTCGGCTCGGCTCGGCTCGGCTCGGCTCGGCTCGGCTCGGCTCGGCTCGGCTCGGCTCGGCTCGGCTCGGCTCTCGGTGCCGGGTCCCGCCTTCCGGCAGCGCTCGGCCGTGCCTTTGTCAGAGCGCGTGCTTTAGTCCTCGGTCCGTGGCTTAAAATGCTGTTGTGGGTTACTCTATTGTGCATCAGCCCACACTCGGTACGCAGTTAGGGTTTTATCACACAGGCTCATGTTGCATTCAGAGCCCCTCACAGCCTTTATTTCTTCGTTCCCCGAAGCTCCCCGGGCGGGGATCACGCTCCTGAGAGGTGCCCTTGGTCCCCATGGACGGGCCCATGGCAGGCCCTGGCCTCCTGCCTGCCATCGCCAGAGAGAAGCACTGCGGGAGCAGAGATGATGTCGCTGTCAGCATTAATCAAGGCTGTAATTGGCCATGTGCTTTTTAGCTCTTCAAAGGAGCTCCACTGGTACCTGCTCCAGCTCTGATCTGCCCCAGCTGGCCTCTGGCAGCCACAGTCAGCCGTGTGGGTGTTGAACCACAGGCTGCAGGCCCATTTCAGGTAGCTAAGACACAGGGCTAGCAAACGTGGCACGGGACACGGGGCACTGCACTGCATGATGGCTCAAATGCCACCGGAGATCTGTATCCAGGCTCCTGACCAGAGCGTTCGTTGAACCCGTGTGCTCAGGAATGGCTCCCGGATCCGCTCTGCCAACACAGGGCCTTATTCCCCCTTCTCCCTGCCTCCGTGTCCTCGCGCTTCCCAACACGTCTTCTGGGGAAAAGCTGCTGCTGGCACCTGAGAAAGTTCTAAGCTCCAAACTAAGCTCCAGACTCAGACAGCCTGAAAGGGGAAGTGCAGTTATTACAGGAGGCTTTCAAAAACTCAACAAAAATTGTTAATTATGAAGCACGGAGTTCTAATATGCTATCTTAAAATTATTCCCTGAACAACTATTTGATAATCACTATTTTGCATTAATACTGTGCTTATTGCTCCAAAACGCAATTAACATTTGCTAATGAAGTAAGCTATACAGCACCAACAGGAACCAACTTAATACTCACCTACTTCATATGGGTATTTTTCAGTAGTTTCTTAATGTATACTTTACGATCTTCAAAGATGTTTAACGTTACTATAACTTTATTCTGTTAAATATCTAAAGGTTACTGCACCCATTTCACCCAGGGAGAGCGGGGTCAGAGGAGGCAGGCTGAGGGAGGCAGCGGTGGTGCAAGGCGTGTGCTCACCAGCTGGAGACGTGACACACGTGCCAGGCAGGTACACCTGGTGCGAGAACAGGTGCTGAGGAGACTCCGAGGACTCTCCATGTGCTGCTGGAATGGGATGCCCGTGGTGAAGATTTAAAAATGCTGACATCTGATAAAAGGCCTAGTTCGGATTATATGCTTCTGAAATGTAGAAATACCTAAATCTGATACCATGGTAACTTGGAAGAACAGTTCTTATAACTTATTTTCCAGATGTCTACAAATATGAAAAACAAGCTGCTTCTGATATTAGCTTGATTTCTTTATTTGCCAAAACTCTATTCATAATCTTCATCTCCTCTTTATTTGACTGCATAATTTTCCAAGACCACTATATGTCTTTGAGTATTAGCTAACAATTTTTTCCCCTCAAAATACAGTTATTCAGGCCCTTGCCAATACCTGCACTGGGGCACATAGCCACCAGACACAAGAGACAATACCGCAAGCACCACAGAGAATTCTGAATTTACTATCTGTAGTTTTAATCCATTAATTTATAGCTTGTAAGACAGTGTCAGAAGTATCTGGGATAATTATAAGATAATCCGCATTTCCTTTGACAAGAAAAAATACCACCCACACTATAACTAACAATAGCCCAGCCAGTTCTTGAGAAATTGTTGTCGAGCGTAGCTGTCCTCACAAATTGCCACTTGATGTTGAAATCCTTTATTACAGCAGGTTGTTTGAGAAGTTTACACGGCAGCAGGCACATTTCACTACCTGCCGCCAGTATCCTGGGTCCTTTCAGTGCCGTCTCAGGTGGGATCCAGAGCAGATCCTGCGATGCAGATCGTGTTGTGAGCAAGGGCTGTGCAGTACTCCTGGCTGGATCTTGCCCAGGTGCCAGCAGGCACAGCACACTGTCGCACGGTCTTGAAGAAGCGACAGGGATTTCCTTTCAGACAGAGTTTCATCAATTACACCTCTTACTTTCCTGTTAGCAGCAAGACACAGGCCATTAGTTATACAGAGTTTTGCAGATGGTTCTGCATTTTTTAACCTGCTTTTTAATGTTTCCAGGTTGTATCCATTATTTTACTTGACGATTAAGAGTGTCCAAGATACAGGTTTTAGTGCTTATCCTGCAATATCTTCAAGGGACTGGACACTACATTTATGCCTGCCCACTCCCAAAGATAACCTTCTACCAGATTTCCACTGTTTTAAGGAACATAACTATTCAACTTCAAAAAAGAAATTGTCTAAGCAGACTTTCTGAACAGGTGAGCCACAGCACAGCCCTTGAAAACTTCAGAAAAAAAAAAAAAATCTCCCTGCTTATTTACTGTCATGAAATGGCCATCTGAAAGAAAACCAAGAGACTCATGAAAACCAAAGGAGAGGAGGAAAGATTAAGAGTAATTCTGTTGCCGTATGAAACCTTGGGACCCCCACATCATGCTTGCAACAAAGGACAGATCTATGGACTTCAGGAAGAATACAAGAGAATTAGGGAAGGTAAAGAGAAGGGCAGCCACGGTGATCAGGGTGGAACAGTGCCATATGGAGAGAGAGACTAAAATGGCTGGGGCTCTTCCACCTGCAGAGGAGGAGGCTGAGAAATTACACGATTTTGTAAGCCTGAATTGTAAAGGCAGTGGCTAAGGTGAATACAAGGTTGTTATTTATCAGATCTTACAATACTAGAACAAAGGTGAGACTAATAGAGCATTACTAACAGCCCAAAGACAGTACCTTTTTTCACAGCAGGTAATTAATGTCTGGAACTCCCTACCACAGGCTGTAGTTAAGGCAACAGTCAGCAGGTTCAAAAACAAACTAGTCAAACTGGGTAACAGGTATACAAACAGATAAAATAGACAATAGGCATGGAATCATCATCTAACATCTCTGCTGATGTCTACTCATAATTAGGGATGCTTGGGCGTATGAGATAACAGACTTGGGCTTGTTGCTGGTCCCTAAACAGAGCATCCTCTGCTGCCTGGGACAGCGAGGGCTGGATGGACCTGCGCTGGTCCAACAGGGGACTCCTTACCTTCAGGATTCTGCTGCTTTGCAGAATAGAGACAGAACTCAGATTTTAAATAGATTCCAATTCATCCAAAACACATTAAAGTGATTTACCTGAGATCCACAAGGGCAAAGCTCATCTCCAGGAACAACTAAGACAAAAAATGATAAAAATAATTGATGTCTTAAATCATTATATGCCTGCCTCTCCATTGGAATTGTTAAAGCTAAAAAGGGATTAAAAAAATAATGCTTAGTTTATTTTTTGTCGACAATCTTCCATCCTATATTCCTGTAAAATTGCCATTTTCAAGTTTTTATATAGGTTTTCCTGTTCCTTCAGTTTCTTAGATCTCTAATGATAAGCATTTAAAATTAATTAATTAGGTATGATGTATCCAGTATAGAATTATAAAGTAATTTTCTTCCTCCTGCATTTTGAATGTCACGTGCTTTAATAAAGTGATTCTGTCCTATACAGAACCCTTTCCTCTTGAATGCAATATTTCGTAACTGTTTCTGAAGAACTAAATACATTGAGTTCCTGCCTCCAAGAAAAAAAAGAAAGAAAGGTGTTCTGTTGATTTCCTTTCTGCTAACAGTAAACACAACAGACTCCAGCTCAAGTTAGTGCTGCACAAGCAGATCCTTGAGCTTTCTTAGTGCTGCGGGGATACCAGCTCATGGCTGATTTCTTTCATTCTTAACTTTATGAATTGCTTCCCCTTCCTTCCGTGACCACATCACAGCCAGCAGATTGTGGGGATTTGCTAATGTGGGAAAGTCACGTGTATCACCGTGTTTTTAGCTGCCTTGTAAAGGAAGGGTGAGCCCGTGCCCGGGCACTGTCAGCGCTGCACAAACAGGCACAAAAGCAGAGAAAACACAGGGAATGGCCCAGCAGGTGAGAGCTCAGCCCAGACACGGGTCCGGCATCCCCACAGCACCGTGAAACTATTCAAAACACAGTCTCTTGTAACTGTAACTGTGCCCACAGATTTTGGTAGAAAAACATTTAAAAATAGCTGTAATAGAATAATTGCCAAAACACACTGTGTTTCAACAGCAACTGTTTGAGCGTTCTCTAGAAACGGGTGTGCAGATGGCGAGGGGAACGCACGAAGGATCACAGTAGCTGTGCTGTGAACTTACACTGCGAGTGCCTGGGTCTTCTATTGCTGCTGCATCGGCGTCTGTCAGCCTGAGCCAGAGCCGGGGTCCCACAGTGCTGGAAACCCTGAATATCACATTAAAAAAAAAGAGGCTGCTGCTCACTGAAAAAACCTGGGAGGCCGTTGGTGCATCCCTCCCGAGTAACCCAGGAGGCAGGACAGCTGATAACCAATGCGTGCCATTTCTTGGAAAACCATTTAATTGCACTGAAGTAGAGCTTCCTCTAACTACTGGAGAATAGGGTTTGTATCTTTTGAGGCATGGAGGATGATGGTTTCTTTGGTGGAGAGCTGACTGATGGCAGAGGAGGACAGGTCTCCTCTAAAGTGACAGAAGTTTCAAAGGATAACACGATGACAACTGAGCCTCCAGAGCCAAACGACCTCCTGCAGAAGCCAGATCACAAAGTGAGATTTTGCAGCAGAAACATTAATATTGGGAAAAAAAAAAGGGATGGTCTTGACAAATGAGTCTGTGTCATGGTGTTGGCTGATAGGCTAGGAGACACAGAGATTCCTCTTAGTCATGCAGCAGT